TATTTACGAGACCCATAATCGATCTCTCTCTCAGTCCCTCTAGTATCCCTCTCTACAAAACCCACGATAAGGGTTAATAATCAAGCTGTGTCCTTGACTGGTACTCCCTTTTCCTTCTCAGACACCTACACCCGATTCACGGCCATGGGTTGTGACAACCTCGCCTTAATCAACTGGGCAGGAATGGCCATAGGGTGCGTGTCCAACTGCAATTTTACTTCAAGAAATAAAAGCTGCTATGGCATCAACTGCTGCCAAACCACAATCCCTCCATCACTCAAGTATATCAATGTAGACTGTTGTATCCTGAGAGATAAACGTCACTGAGTCTGTTAGCACCATAGCAAGGCGAATCTGTCTTAAGGACATAGTATCCAATACTAGCCTCGGTCCAGGTTCTTTATTTATTATTATTATTTTATTAATTTATCTTGCATATTTAATTAAATATAGAGTTGCATATTTAATTAATGATTTCTTAGCATATTGTTAATTATCTCACGACATATTAGTATAAGGTTTGTTATATCTTAAATGTCACATGAAGCATATATTTTACCAACAATCATAACCCTATACCACTATCCTTTGGTGCACAAACTTTGGATTGGGCTCAACGACGGAGCACACCAGATATGAAAAAATTAATGATAATACTTAGAGTGAACTCTTAAAGTGAATTGTTTGACCAACAACTTTTATTTGGTCATTGCTGCATTGGACGACTATAAAAAAAATGGATACTTACAGATGTGGAACATTTATTTGTCAGCTAACACAATCTCTTTTACATAAACAGACATTTCCTTACAAACGTTTCTCTTTCCACTCATTTATTTTTTTTCAAAAAAAGGTATATCATCTCCTCTCGCTCTTTCCTCTTAAATTCCCTCACCAAATTTAGGGGAAAAAGGAAAGAATAAAAGTGTAACAAATACATTAGAAACAAAACTCTAATCTCACAGATGGAGCAAGATCAATGTCTTGCATTGAAGGGAACACCTATGGTTAGTAAACAACGGTGCTTAGGCCTCTCCTACTCTTGTCAAGAACTCTATAAAAATCGATCATGGCATTGATTTACTTTATTGTCTTTACAGAAAAGTTGTTTTTTAATTCAAAATCAACGCACTCTCGACTCTCACTTCATCTCAATCTCTCTATCTCCATGTTTTAGAAATTTCTATTTACGAGACCCATAATCGATCTCTCTCAGTCCCTCTAGTATCTCTCTCTACAAAACCCACGATATCTCTCTAGTTCTCGTTCTCTATCTCTCTCTACATATTATTGGTGGCTTCCATTAATTCAAGTTAACGCCAAATGGCTAGGACCAAATCTAATATCCATATTATTAGTAGAGAGATACATGTATTTTGGTTCAACCACTGGTTATGTGGTGAGAGCCATTTAGACCCAAAGCCAAGGTTGAGCCACACAGAAATTGGTCTGAACAGTTGGATTCGAACTCATTGTTGCTATTGGAAGATGGAGACTGTTTTATCTTGGGCGTAAATTGTTTTGAGAAGATCGTATTCAATACTAACTTCAGTCTAGATTCTTTATTTTTTTATTTATATTGTTTTATTTTACATATTTAATTAAATATTGTAATGAACATCTAATTAGTTATTTCTTAATATATTATTAATTATTTCATAACATATTAGTATAAGTTTGTCGTATCTAGATACCATATTGAAGCATATAATTTCCAACATTGATTTTGTTGCTCTATTTTTTTTGTTTAATTTGAACTTCTTCTGAGATCTCATTCTTTTAGGGGAAAAAGTGTGCAATACCCCAGTATCCTGTCCAGAGAAATTATCAAATAGTTCTGAATCATTAATGCTCAGTGGACAAGTTTAATCCACACTTTCTGAAATAAGAAAAGGACCACACAAGAGTTAGTTTTCATTGGAATAGTCCCGTCTAATAAGCCTCACTCATAAAAACTCTCGATTTGATTTGATTTGTGAGAAATAGATAGTTTTCACAAACAAAACAAAAAAAATACTAAAAATTTTTTTTTTTTTTTAAAAAAAAACATGATTGTGCATTAATTGGACGGAAATAATACCCTTCTAGTACTGTATACTTTCTCTGTTTGAGAATATAGATGCCTGTGTGTTTTGTTTGTGAACATATATATAGAGAGAGAGAGAGATAGAGTATATAAGTGAGTTGGTCATAGCTTCTTAGTCATACAGAACTTTCTTATTGAGAGAAAACCATGGGTATATCAGGTTCTTGGTCTTTAAAAGAGATGAATGATCAACTCCAACAACACAGCATAATATTACCTACGCCATGGACCAAGTAACGTCCACTTTTCTTAAGCTCATATCCAGCCCCAAAGCATTCCACACACCATCCGATCCATCAACAATGTTATGTTTCTCGTCACAACCGCGCATTGAATCGCACTTATCTACAACCTTAGCCATCACATTCATCCCATTACTAGCAGCTATGCGAATCATCTTCCCACATCTCGATCCATTGTCGAACAATCTGCTAGACAGACCCACGACCAGTTCCGATTTGTCGTGGTACTGCTCATCACACTCCGATTTCCGTCGGCCATCGCCTCCTCCGCTAAAATATTTGTTAGTAAGTTTGGCGCGTGTGGGAGGGGAGCACGGGGAGGGGCCGGAGACAAGCTTAGGAGAACAGGGTTGGTTCCCGCAGTTGAAGCCGCCGGATGGGACACAACTAGGGGGACCACTAGAGCTCCCGGGAAGAGTTGAGATGATACAGAAAGAAAGATAAAGAGAGAGCAATTTAAGATTTGCCATACTCAAATAGTAGTACTATTGTCGTTGGGATAACAGAGTGGGGTGTGCTTATATAATAGATGTCTTTGTTTGGAAGGCATTGGCGTTTATTACCTACAAAGTCTCTGTGTTACCAACTCTAATCGACCTCATGTGCAATTTGTCAGCCAGTTTACATTTATGATAGTGAATGTGTGGGTCCCGATGTTCACGTCATCCCATTTTTTTCGTTTATGGAAACTAAAAATTATTAGATACTTGTACACCATTTGTCCCAGTGATAATTTATTAAGTCATCTCATTTTCGTTGATGATAGAGAAAGTATTAAATGGTTTTGGGTCATGTGTCATTTGATGATTCATTCAATCAAAATTAATATTTGAATTTATTTGTAATATTTTAATTTACTATTGTGAGAATTGATTTTAAATAATAATAAATTTATATATATATATATATATATATAAAGATTAAACTAGTCCACCAAATCTTATTAACGATCCACAATTATATAATAATTTCCTGAATCGAAAAGTTTTCAATAAAATTCACATCTTTACTCTATAAAATTACTCTACTACACGTTTATATATGGTTGTATTTACAATGAAATGGTGCAATTCTAATTAAAAAAGCACTTTTACATTATATATACTCCGTACTATAGTTCAAATAAGTATTTGTGCATAGTACTTTTGGAGGCAATGTCATTATTTAGAAGTGTTGAATTTAATTTTTGTGATAATTTGATTTTTTGGTGAAGCTGTCGATAAGCACTCGTTGTGTTTCCTTTTTGAGAAATTGACAATTGATTTTCATAAATATATTTATAAATATTTTTCATAAATTTTATTTTTCTCAAAAGCACACTTGCGAGTCTTGTGACTATGGCTCTAGTTCACAACAAATTGTGTTAAAGTTAGTATACTTGAGCAACAAGTTTTTCCTAATAAAAGTGATTGATTATTAACATATATGTCTTTTGACTTTCTTTGAAATATTTCCTTTATAATTATATTATTATAAACAAGAATACTTGTAAAGCAAGTATTTGATATTCGTTGTTTACAACTCTTTCTAACTCACCTATAAATAGAGGTGGGTATTTATAAACATGATTAAGGGAGTACATAATAGCCCTTCGGGCTTTGTGTGTCGTAGATGTAAGTCTTAGTGACTGAACCACGTTATATTCACATGTTGTTCTATCTTATTTCTCTCTTCAATTTTTTATATATTTTAACAAATTGTGAGTCAACGGTTACCACACAGCAACCAATAAGCTTTATCCTTCCACTAGACCACTTACGTTTTAAATACACAATGATCGTTAATGTTTTCTTTTAATGTGCGAGAACAAAAAAATTTCACAATTGTGATAATGGATTCTATTATGTACATTATGTCAATATCGACCCGAGTTCGTTACACAACATCCACGCCAACAATTAAGGACGGAGCCATAAATTAGGTTCAGCGGGGCACAATGCAATAAAAAAAATTAATTTGGGTAATTTAAAAATTGTAAGGAATTATACATACAAAAGTGTAATTTTTTAAAAGTTGAGGGGGTCAATTTTAAAATTATAAAAATATACATACAAAAATGAAATTTTTTAAAGGTTGGGGGAATTTTAAAGAAATATACATACAAGAATGTAATTTTTTTAAAGTTGAGGGAGAGGAATTTTAATTTAAAAGTTCAGGAGCTCGTAACCCCCCTCCCCCCTCTCCCCTCATTGGCTCCACAACCGCAACCAAAATTTATACCATCAAAAGTATGATTTTGTGCTACTAAAGACTACGTACTTATGTAAAGTTTTATATAATCACTTATAATCCAAAGACAATATATACTATAAGAAAAATAGTTTTTTATCACGTACTTTCTACCACGGTTTTAAAATAACCGTGGTAGAAAGTATATTTTTTACTACGGTTATTTTAAAACCGTGATAGAAAAACTTTCTATCACGGTTAATGATTAACCGTGGCTATAACCACGCACTTTTGATTACGATTATTTTTATAATTGTGATAGAAAGATTTTCTATCACGGTTAATGAAAAACTGTGATAATAAGCACGTATTTTTTACCGCGGTTTTAGAATAGTGGTAGAAAATGAATTATTTTCAATCCTGCTTACGCGCGTTTTGTTCCCTCTAGTTTCATTAAAAAGAAAAAATTATAAACAAAAATATAACTCAGAGAGAAACCACACATATCTACACTCAAAAAAATATATATATATCTGCATCTATCTCCATAGCCGTCCCCTTTCTCTCGCGATCTATACTATCTATCCTCGATTTGCAAATCCCCTTTCTCTCAAATTTCCAAGCCTGACCCATGCCTTTTTCTCTCCAAACCCAACCCTTCTACCGAAGCCACTGATTTCTGAAATCTCCACCATTGAGGAGCAGCGGAGGGTTGAAGCGATGGTCAGCGCAACGTTAGAAAGGAGATAGCGGCACAGCTGATTGAAAAGTTCCCTGAGTTTTAGGCTGCGCAGTGCCCCTGTAAAGTCCACCACAGATGGGCGTTGAGACTCAACAAGGATTCGCTCCTTTCTCCAAGCCCTAACCATAGCTCCCTCTCTCATTCGAAGTCCTAACCCCTCCCTCCTATGCGAAGGACACTTTGGCGTCAAACCGAAGACCTAATTTATCGTGTGTGCATCGATAAATTTTGAGGTTTGTATTTTCATCCCCTGTAAATTGTTATCTTCATCAAATTGATACTCAAATAGGTATGACATGACTTTAGTTTATTCAATTAGGGTTTCTTATAAATTCCATGTCTTAATGTGTACTGAGTAAACCTTTTTTTTTTTTTTTTGCAATGCCTATATTGATTCTTTCTATAGGATGTTCATGATTTTTTTGTTTTCTCTATTTCTTTATCATTTGCTTGCGTCACATGAGGAAATTATACTTTCTATTTTTTTTTTTTTTTTGTTTCGATTTCGGAATAAAATCCCGCAGCATTTCAGTAAATCTAGACTGTGTATAGTTATTATATAGCCATTGTCTTAGAACAATCAAGTGAATCGTAAAATTTCTGGTTAAGAAATAAATGTGCCTAAGCAGTGGAACTGTTAACTGTTATCATCTGCCAGAAGTGTAATTTATGTCTGATGTGGGTGCACTAGACTTTTTAGTTGTCACCTTATTGATGTCTGCTCATCCATTTTCAGTCGGCTTTTTTTCTTTGTTAATCGTCGTCATCATACACTTTTTGCCCTTTTGCTTTCATTTTTTATATATAATTATTTGTAAGCTAAAAATACTTGTATCAGAAACTAGGATGTGGATTTTGGTTAATTCTCATCTAAAATAATGTTATGACCCTGTTTTTCTCATTGAGAGATGAAATTTGGGAGCTACTGCTTATGGCGTCGTGAACATAGGGAAAAAATGAAAGACTTTAGTAAAGAAGATGAAGGACCTACTATATTTGGCTCGGGCTTACTTTCCTAGTATTGCAAAGCTTGCAGCACATGACAAGCTATCACGTGAAATGAAGCAAAATATTCAGGAGTTTGAACGTATTCTCAGTGAAGCTACAACAGATAAAGATTTCCCACCACAGTAAGTGATGTTGACTTTATGATTTTCTAATATCCATCCATAGAGTCCTGAGCAATAAGAATTTTAAATGCTTCCTCTGGTGCAGCAAAGTGTTTGCTAATTGCCTGTGGATCTGTTTGCTAAGTTCAAATATCACATTTCTTTATGCATATGTTTGTTTAGTTGAATGTAATTTCTGTACTTTAATCCAATACAAATGTTTTTATTATAGCCTTTTCATAATGGGGACCATCAATAAATTCTTTTACTACATAGGTCATGTTGTATTGTATATTTAGCTGTACTACCTATGCATGTTTCTTTTATGTGGCCTAGGTTTTCCTGGTGCATTCATAACATGGTCCATTGGCAAGTTTTTTGACTCGCAATTCTTTCCTTCATTCATTTTATATATATTGTAACTTATGTAGTCTTACTGCTTGAGGCCTGCCTTTGTCTGAATTTATGATTCTGGTACATAAATGTATAGTATATACCATGTGCTTGCCAAACATGACTTTCCTAAAGAAAATAATAGTGATAAAAACAAGAAGAAAAAAAATGCAGTTAAATGTCAACAAGAACATTAAATTTTATTTTATTTTTCTAAATCAATTAATCAAGGTCTGTAATTCTTGTTTTGCAAACTAAATCCTATTTGGGGAATTTTTTTGCTTGAAGAATCTTGCACTTTTGAAGAATCTTATATCTGTTGAACTGGTGTGAAAAAAATATATATATAGAGAGAGGAAATTTGATTGACATTGCTGATGTTCAATCTAATTGTATATTTGTATTGCATAGTTGGTATTCCTGTTAAAATTATATATATTTTTAGGGCAGTTTATAGGACTAGTTCTGAAAACTAGAGTAAATGGGGGTACCAACTAGAAGGTGTTTCTGTGGTTCTGTTTTTGGTGGTGTGCAGTGTAATGGAGGAAGTGTTTGTTTTTGGGAAATGAAATACTACCTGGATTTATTACTAATTTTCTTTTTCTGAAGCTATGTTTCCTTTGTCACACCACACCAGTGGTGTTGAACAATTTATATTTGAATTTAAGTTCTTTTGCATTATAGTCCATTCTTTTGAGCAATTGATTCCCTTCAACTCTACTGAGAGTTTAATCTTTCCCTTCTTGTCCTCAATTGGTGCTGGTTTCTCTTAACTGTATTCCTCCATATAATTCCTATAGGAATTATTCAATATTCACATCTTCTGCTTTTCCCTTCATTTTGTAAATTTTCACCATGATTTGGTGTTCAAACTTTCAATCAAATTCTCATGGGCTGTTATTGAAATTGTAGTTCTGAATACTGTCTTAGCTCATAAAGAGGAATGTATGTTGTAGTTTTTAGAATTATTTATGTTCACGACTTTTTGACTATTTCAAGTCTATTTTTTGATAATTTGATTGTAAAAAATACTTAACTATTGATTTATATCTGGCTTTTGTAGATCATAGGAAAAACAAATAAAATTGGGGTGGGACCAAAAGAAGCAAGTGACAGGTACATCAATGAGTATCATGGTAACATGAAACAAATTCAGTGCCTTCCTCCTACAGAAGAGCCAGGGGTTACTGATCATATAGAGCAGATAAAAAACATGATCCATCAGGTGATTCTCTTGAGCTAAGGTAGACAAACTTCTACATATAGTTTCTTATCTTGAGGTTATGGTGGTATATTTTTCTTATTGAAGTTGTTTATGCAGGTTTGTCTTCACATTTGCCGTAGGTGCTGGACCAGTCCCTAGTCTCCTCCTATCAGAAATATTCCCTAACCGAATTAGAGCAAAGGCAATGGCAATCTACATGGCAGTGCACTGGGTAAGTGGATAATTGTGTTATGCAGTTTATTCTGTCACTGGTATTGGTATTTCATTTTTTTCCTTCTTTCAGTGTGTGAACGGCAATTTAATTCCAACTTTTTGAAGGTTTCTTGAAAATAAAGTCTTCTACCTTTGAATTTCTATTCAATGTTGAATCCCGATGATCACTTCTCAAACTGTGAACCACAACTTTGAACTTAGTAGTTGAATTCATTCATGCTTATAAACTATGAACCAAAGATATCCCTTGTTAAATAATTAAAATTTTCTTAAAAATTATATACCCATTCAGGCTATTTCTAACTTTTATAGTTGCATGAATCTAAAACTATGTCCACGAATCAATTTTATTTACTGGATAGTTGCAACCAAATATAAAATTATATATGTTGTGGCCATTGCTTGGTGCTGGTAAAAACTCAGGCTAACAAGTGTAGACATGGATTCAAGTTTGATAGCAGCAGCCTTAAGAAAAATAACGTCAAAAGGTTAAATCTGTCTCCATTCTTCAACCCCAGATTTCCAAGTAACTGGACCAGCACTACATAATGGCCTTTTTGCATTGGGCATATCAAGACCTAGAGCAAGAAAGGCATTCCTACATATTTAATATTTTTAAGCTACTAAGTTGATTGTAAATTAGTAGAACTCCCTACTTCACTTAAACTAAATAAACGTAAGGAAAACAGTAAAGTGATGCATAAAAGTCCAAGAAGTCTCAAGAGTGGGCATTTGTCTAACTCCAATTTCAACTGTAAACTTATACAAATCTGATTTTCATATCCATAGCATAACTAAAATTTCTCAAAACTCCCAAAAAATAATTTACATTGTTGTTTATTAAAGGGGCAAAAAAAGAAAATGATAAGACAGCATTACTTATTCTTCTAATTCTTTCAAATAGGCTGATTTATTTCCAATCCCATTAATCAGCTTAACATGCAACGCCTGCAAGGATAAACATAGAAAACTAGTCATTCTCTATAGAGTGACACTTAAAATAATGCCAAATCAGTCAAGGTATGAATGGGTGATGAAAAGGATTGAGTAGGATGGAGACAAGAAAAATGAGACAAGAACAGGTCCCATCCTCTATGGAAGTTGGGAAAACCCAGCTTACAAATGTAAAGGATAGACTAATAAAATTGTGAAGCAATTGATAAGAACTTGTGATATAACAAATAATGAACTCTTATCCCAACCTTAAGCTGTTCCAAATCCTTCACATCTGTATTTTCAAGTCCCTTCCACTAAACTGCCTTTTTGTCCTTCGCAATAATATCTAGTGCCATAAGGACATTCAATGCATCATATACTCGTCGTCTTATATTCTTCTCATCAGACTAAAACATTCAGAGGTTCACTTCTCAGCATACACAAGAAGTTAACATAATAATAGCAGTGTAAAAAGGTTAAACTCTAAGGTTAATCAAACCTCATTGAAGGAAACTGCTGAACTATTGTTAATTCTGGTAAAGTCTGCTACAATTTCATTTGCAACCTGGACATCATGAACCAAGCAACCCAATAATTATAAGATAAAACATAATCATATACAGAGGCAATGACAGTAATCTAAATGAACTGGAAGAGAAGGCCGATCAGAATAACAGGAGAAGTGAGAAGAAGAATAACAAATAGAGATTTTTAGGGAGAAACCTTAATACTAGTGTGATAAATCCTAAAGACATTGAAGCACATATAAGGGCAAACCCTAGACAAACCTAATAAAAAATTTAGCAACCTCAAGGGGGTCACGTGCCTTTAAGTGACCAATTTTGCAGTATATGGGGGGTCACGTACCTTAAGTGACCATTTTTTTTTAATCTGAACATATCATATGATGGTAATTCACTCCGTCTTCGAGTACTTTCAATCACCTATTAAATAAGCCATGCTTAAGCTTTAATCCTGGGACTATTACCTTGACACACTGAACTTGCTTTGCTTGAGTTAAGACGATGTTAATATTTGCTTTGCTTGAGTTAATAGGAAGAGTAGATCATTCAAAGTACCTTTATTATAATACTTGCTTTGCTTGATTTAATTTTGGCAACTTTACAACTTGCTTTGCTTGGTTTAATTTTGACAAATTTACAACTTACTTTATATTTTTTTTTTTCCTAAATAACTTGCTTTATATTAATTCTCTTACTTCAACTATTACATCTTTGTAGGTCAAAGCTAGGATTGCGGGTTGCGGTTGACATTACTTTTTTTTGTTGCCACTATATTTTTTGTATGGCTCATGAAGAAGTTGCAAGAAGATATGAAGAATTTTTGTTTTATTTTGATTAACTAAATATATAAGGTTTGGATCATGTACTTTTTTGAAATTTGTATATGGTTAATTTTTGTATAAAACAATGACTTGAATTTGGTTTTATATATATATATATATATGATGTTATTGGTCAGTTTTAAATTATTTTGGTTTTGATTTATTTTTTATTTATTTTGGGTTTGCTTCTAGGGTTCTTGTAAGGCTAGAAAAAAAAAGGTTTCATAAAGGCTAAACTATTACTTTTTTAAAAAAATTATACAACACTTTCTACCACGGTTTTGCACCGTGGTAGAAAGTATTTCTTTCTACCACGGTTCTCCACCGTGATAGAAAATAAACTTTCTACCACGGTGCAAAACCGTGGTAAAAAAGAAAGACTTTCTACCACGGTGCGGAACCGTGGTAGAAAGTCTTAACTTTCTACCACAGGTCAAAACTGTGGTAGAAAGCCTTTTCCATCATGGTAAAAAATCATTTTTCTTGTAGTGACACAAATGGCATATATAGATAATTAGATGTACTGTTGACTATATAATTGTAAACATATATAGATAATTAGATGTATTGTTGACTATATAATTGTAAACATATATAGATAATTAGTTGTGCATGTACTGATTAGGTGCTGATTAACATAGTTGTAAGAGCTAATTTTTAGTCTTTAATTTATTTCCTTCTTTGTAATTATTTATGTACTTTAAATCCTCCACCAGGAGAACAATAAACACGGAGAATTATTCATATTCCTTTTATCTCTAAAAAAAATCTTTATGGTATCAGAGCTCTCTAGAAAGAAATTTTAAAACCGTATTTTTCTTTTAGGGTTTTCTGCAAATACATGTTATTACCCAAACACCAGTTTTTTTTTTCTTTTTCTTTTTTTTTTTTTAACCCTACCCACCCCCACAGATCAGGCATCCTTATTTGACTTCATGGCAGATAAGATTGAAACCTCTATGACTTCTGAGATTCATTATCATACTCTAATGATTCCTTCAACTGCATCCAACCCGCATTAAGATTTGATGAATGTTCAATTGATGCCTTATAAACTTAATGAAACCAATTATCTCGCTTGGTCACATTTTGTGAAGCTTTATATTACCCACAAAGGCCGGTTGCTGTATTTAACTAGGGAAAAACCCCGACCTGCGATTAATAACCTAACTTTCACGACTTGGGTTGCAGAAGATGCAATGCTCGATTTGCTCTTGGCTCCTCCAAACTATGATCTTTGATCTTAGTCCTGGGTATATGCGGCTCAAGTCCGCCAAAGATATTTAGGATGTAGTATCTCAGACTTATTATGTGGGAGGAATGAGGCACAGATTTATGAGTTGAAGCATAGTATTTAGGTTACTACTCATCAGGGAAGGACATTGGAAGCATATTACAATGGCCTCCAAGCTTTGTGACAAAAACTCTACTGTTATCAACCTTGTAAAATAGAATGTGTTATTGATATCGCTCTGTTGAATAAGCGGAATGAAAAAGAACGCTTTTTTAGTGTCTTGCTGGTTTTAACCTAGATATGGACCAAATAAGGACTCAGGTGCTTGGAAAAGTTCCATTTCCTTCTTTGTGCAAGTCCTATGCTTATGTGCATACCCAAACCTTCTGACGATCTATTATGCTCATGCCACCTTCTCCAGAAGGATTTGCTTTGGTTTTTACCACAAGTCAATCACCTCGAGCATCATTAGCACATCAGCCCAATCCTCGACTAATTGCAGCATCTGGTAATGTCGCTGAAACTACTAAATTTGATAACAAAGATTCTTTAGCTTGTGATTATTGTAACCAGACTAGACATGTGATAGAACAATGCTTTAAACCTAATGGTTATCTGCCTTGGTGGCCTAGAAAAAAAGGTGACAAAGATGAAAGTAGTAAGGGCGAACAAGGGAGTTGTTCTAATTCCAAGGCTCATTATTCCTCTTCCAATAATCAGAATGGTGACCAATCTGCGACTAAGTTCTCTTCTACAAAATGGAACAAATGATTCAGAAGCGTGCTTGTTTGCTCTCTACTAAAGGGTCCAGTTCTTTAGCCATGTTCTCAAGTAACCTTGGTCATTGTTTTAGCGTATCCGGTAAATCTTCCTCAGAATCTTGGGTTATAGATACATGGGCAACTAATCACATGACCTCTATATCTCTTTCTTTTTTTCATCTTATTCCTCACTTACTAAAACTTGTGTCATAACTGCTGAAGGTTTATCATCCCTTGTGAATGGTGAAGGTTTAGTCACTTTTTCTGATTCTTTATCCCTTTCTAACGTTCTTCATGTCCTTAGATTGTCCAATAATCTGATGTCTATCAATCAACTTACTAAAACCTTAAATTGTTCTATCACGTTTTTTGACACTCATTGTATATTTCAGGATCTCCGAATAGAGGTGAGGATTTGTGATACCCCTCGATACTAGAGCCACGGGTGATCAAGTCCGAGCACATATCCGAGGGATACCAAACAATTAATAAGTAAATAAGCACAAAAAACAAAACGAATTAAAGAAATAAATAATAAGCTGAAAAGAATTCTAAAATATAATCCTTAAAATTTATAAATTAATATAAATTCCAAACCTTCCAATATCTGTACAACTCGGGAATCCATCTAGCGAACCCCTATCCAAATCCCAAACTTAAAAGGAAACAATTGTAATAAAAATCTAAAGCTAAACATAAAAAGCAGTCCTACGTAGTCGGAGGAGTGAGTGACTGTATCTACTCTGCACGATCAAGCTCTAACCCTGGAAGTGACGAACACCTGAAAAATAAGAGTGGGTCAGGCCCACATGCAAGTCCTATCCTACTACAATCCATACAGAAACCCGATACGCAGATACATCCTAGATAGATCAACAATAACTAAAGTAGTCCATACGGATATAAATACACACTATAGGATGCTCACTAGACTATAGTATAGTCTCAACTTGAATAAAAGGTAACATGCAAATCGCACGTAACGTGGTCATGTATACCTAGACCTACTAAGGAATAACAACTATGTCCATTTATCCATCCTAGGCGATATACGCACCCTAACTATGAAACTGAGACTCAAACTCATATCACGACACCATAAAGATATATATATATATATATATAAAATTCGTTCAAGGTATGACATTCAAATGTTTATTAACCTGTCATATATATAAGTAGGACTTAACTTTTATAGTTAATTCACCTTACTTCAGAGTAGGTAGGACTTAGTGTTTTAAATTAATCCATTCCCAGAATAGGTAGGTCTTAGTGTTTTGAACTAAGCCATGCATCCCTAATATGCCATCATCCCATACCGGCGGATATATACATATATAAGTAGGACTCAACTTTTATAGTTAATCCAACCTATTTCCATATAGGTAAGACTTAGTATTTTTAACTTATCCGTCCCTAATATGCCACCGTCCCATACCGGTACATACAAAACACAAGTCCGTATTATTGATAAAGCAGGAATAAGTAACTCATCAATCATACTCCAAAATTAGCATAAATAAAGTCTAACATGTGTATGACCAAATTATGCATCCAATATAAGATCTAAAAATCCTATTTCAGTCCTTTATATTGATAAAGTAAGATTAAGCATTTAATCTTCCAAATCGTTCATAACTTGATACAATTAAAAGCAAGTTAAATACCATTTTATTCCAAACCAAGCATAGTTAATTTCAAGTAATTCACTACAGTTATACCTCTATTTAAATATGATTAAACAGTATTAAATCATATATAAAAGAATCTCCAAGTTCTAGTATGTAAGTTGATTAACAACCAAAGTGCAATATATAGGATTTTTCCCTAAGTTCATACTGTCCATTCCTTAATCCATTTATGAATTATTGTTTCCCTATATTTTTAAAGGTCCATAGCACTTAGCTACACCATTTACTACAATTTAAACGGACTAAAAATACCCTGCACAGTCCAAACGCAGTCTAAAAACCATCAATACGCAATTCTGGGCGAGAACAGGCTCTCACAATTTGAGAGCCTGCTCTAAGAAGTTGGGAGCTGGCTCCACACTCCTTGGAGCCAGCTCCATCAATGAAGGAGTTGTCTCCCTCCTTTTGGGAGCCTGCTCTCTCACTCCCTGAAGCCGTTTCACGGTTCTGCTTCGTCTTCCTCGCCTCCAGCGATTCCCAAGGCCTCTGTAATTCTTTTAATACTTATTCTAGTGTTTAATCAATGTCCCAGAACATTTATAATGCATCGACATGCATCAACGATATCAATTAAACCAAGCTTAAACGCAAAGATAGTAGGAACCAATTAACAGAACTTTAAGAATTTGCAAACCAGTTTAATTCAACCAGATTAAATATAGTTTAAACATGCCAAAAAAGATTTATTTTAGCATTCATTAAACCCCTGGAGTCTACCTAGGCATGCACAGAACACAAGTTTAAGGAAAAGAGATAGAATAGAGACTTGCCTTCGGTTTCAATTTTGAAACCTTAAACTGTCGTCTTTAATAATTCCAGTGACCTTACTGCTTTCACAGACCACTGTTTCTCCTGGTTCAACCCACGAGCAAGCCAATTTCTCTTCCTTGGTTCAGTCTTAGTCTAAGTCAAACCCTAGCCTTCCTCTCTTGAACCTCTCTGTTCTTTCTTTCTGCCTCCACAGTTACGGGAAGAGGGTTCTAAAACCCTTCCAGACCCACAACTTTTATATATATAGGCCTCAATGAAAACCTAATTATAATTCCCCACTCATCCTAAGTCGGCTAAACCAAATCCCGTGATTTCATAAATAAAAACAAAACCCTGATGTACTCCAACTAATGCAATTACATAATTAAACAATTACTTAAATGAACGAAAATAATAATCATACAATTAAGTCAATTAAAGAAAAAGCAAACTACGATTAAATAACCAATTAAATTAAACAATTCATTTAAATAAACAATTAAATTAAAAAATTTATTTAAATAGCATAATTCACAATTAATTCAAATAAACAAGCAAATAAACCATTAAATCATTCAAAATGCCATTAAATAATTAATTAAAATACCAGGATTATCCTTTTCAAATTAGGGGTATTACAGGATTGGTCATGGTAATGAACGATGTGGCCTCTATCTTTTGGATGTACCAGCTACTTCAACCTCAGTT